TATTGAAACTATGTTTATCACCACTCATACAAAGGAATGAATTTCGCTGTTTTCATTGCGTCAGGAAAATTTCCAGTAGAAAGTGATAGACTACAAGTGTAAGTGAATGGTTCAATGACAGATTCTATGATGGTTTTAACAGTTATCATGTCCAGGTCCTGATAATCAGTTGATCATTTGTTTCCACAGTTTTTTACAATGTTCACAGTTCATTGCTACAGAACAACTTAGATCAACTTGCATGCACAAGTAAACCCACTGATTGAACTCTATTAGAACAGCAATGTTTGGTAACTATAGTTGGTTTTCCTTGTTTATCTACCAAGTCATCATGCTTCTTTTGTCCTCACTACACGTCACTGTGTAACAGTTGCATTTACACACCAATCTTTTTGTACGTTTGTATGTGCATATGTACATACATACAGTATATACCAACATAGGTCCATACATGTATACATACATACGCACAAACATTTGTATGTACATGCATACATACATGCATACATACATACATACATACATACATACATACATACATACATGCATACATGCATACATACATACATACATACATACATACATACACACACACACACACACACACACACACACACACACACACACACACACACACACACACACACACACACATACATACATACATACATACATACATACATACATACATACATACATACATACTGTCACACCCTGTCCTGTCTCCCCTTATGGTTTAGTCTTGTCTCTGTTAATTGCTCCCACCTGCCTCTTGTTTTCCAATCACCCAAGTTCCCAACCCTCTTGTATTTAAACCCCTTCAGTTCCTTGTCTCGTGTTGGATCATTGTTTCTGTGTCAGCGTGTGTTATCATTAAAGCCTTTAACCGTTCTTGTCTGCCTGCCTTCTTCACCCGTGTTTGGATCCTTACCTCCGCTTCGCGCTCCAGCACGTCTGACACATACATACATACATACATACATACATACATACATACATACATACATACATACTTACATACATACATACATACATACATACATACATACATACATACATACATACATACATACATACTGTCACACCCTGTCCTGTCTCCCCTTATGGTTTAGTCTTGTCTCTGTTAATTGCTCCCACCTGCCTCTTGTTTTCCAATCACCCAAGTTCCCAACCCTCTTGTATTTAAACCCCTTCAGTTCCTTGTCTCGTGTTGGATCATTGTTTCTGTGTCAGCGTGTGTTATCATTAAAGCCTTTAACCGTTCTTGTCTGCCTGCCTTCTTCACCCGTGTTTGGATCCTTACCTCCGCTTCGCGCTCCAGCACGTCTGACACATACATACATACATACATACATACATACATACATACATACATACATACATACATACATACATACATACATACATACATACATACATACATACATACATATATACATACATACATACATACATACATACATACATACATACATACATACATACATACATACATACATACATACATACGTGGACTGTATGTATGTACGTACGCACATACATATACACATATATGTACGTACATACATACATACATGCATACATACACAGTCTACAGTCCTTACTGCAGAAGCTGAAGTTCATTCATCTTGTTGTCCAGGGATTGAACATTACAAATCAAGATTGATGTTAGTGCTGCTTGTAGCTCTTTTCCCTTTCTTCTTCTTCTTTTATTTAATTTTTTTTGTTTGTTTTTTACATTTTTTTCCTGCTTCCTATTTAACTGTGGGATGTCTGCCAGGATATCATCAAAGGAAAAGGTAACCAAATCAAGCTTAATTCCAGCAATGCAAAGGACCAGTTTGATTTTCAGTGTACAGTATCTGAAGTGGGATACCAATAAACTCACACAAGCTGAACTGAACTGAACCCTCACCTCAGATTCTTAGACACAAGTTTTAGGAAGCTTTGAAATCCCTAATTTCAACCTAAGATATTCACTGAGATTGTTGCAAGATGATGAAGAAAGCATATGAAATGCCAACAGGAAGAACTTGCACACTATACAATAAAAAACCATGCATAATAGCAGCCTAGAAATGTTTCACACAACCGTCATTAAGTGAGAATAAATATCATTAGTGCCACTCACTTTTCTCTGAAAACATATGGTGCAATAAATTAACATGTCATTTCCGAGGCAGGTTTATTTTCCTTTATTCTGTCCTGAGCACTTACGCTTCTATTATTTGAGGAATGTAAATGTGATATTCCACCACACATCAGCACATTTTAATTTTCAAGTGTCACGTCTTGTGGATAAAAAGTAAGCTCTGGTGTAAGATGCTGGGGTATCTTTCCTCATGAGTTCAAAAAATAGTTTTTGCCTAAACGGGATAGAAATATTGCTCTGACATGAACATTATTAGAAATAACAGCTTGACAATCTCGTCCTGGTCATCCAGAAATGTACCGGCGCGTCCTGGAGAAGTAATCCTGATCCATCTTAATCTTTCTCCCTTCCTCCCTCCCTCTTGGGAGCTCAGTAGTCGAGTCCTCTCAGCGCTCTTGCTGGCCCCGGTGTGCAGTGACAGCTTAGCTCACATGGAGGCAGTGCTGTGTTGTTCACACGCTGATGATGAGAGACTCTGAAGCATGGAAAAGAGCCTGAATCCTAACAAGTGACAGCAGAAATTTTAAACAGGAAACCGGAGAAGTTGGTAACTTGAATGTCAGAAAGACAGAGAAACAGACATGAAAACAACACGACAGATGGATGGTTAGAGGGACATTGTACAGTCTGGTGACATGCAGGAACAGTCAGGAAAGACAAACTCTGATTCATTGACAGAACAATAAAATCGGACCCAGGGAGGAACACTGATGTCCACACAAACATGTGAGACAGGAGACACTCAGCGTCCCACATCAGTTAGTTGTGAAGCGATCCAGCAGTCAGCAGCTGGGCACGGCCGTGAGGGAGAGACGAGCTGCCCTTATATATCCATGCAACATTAATATTTCAAAATAGTTTTTATGGGAATTTGCAGTTTGCACGGCTGACGGCCTTCACACAAAGTCACAAAGCTTTTCTTTCTCCTTTCAATCTCGGTGTTATGATTTGATCTTCTTAAATTAAATGGGGCAGAGTGACATTTAGACTTTCCTCGCACTTATTGGCTTGATCAAATTTAGACTGCATTATCCAGAATATTGTCAGAAACTGAGCTAAATGTGTATAATAGTATTATCTGTTGCCACACCATGCCGGCTTTATTTGTACAAGCACTTTTTAAATGCAATGTTGACACATTAACACTATCCAACCGTACAGTTATGTAGACAAAACCACTTTATAACAGAAGTCGCTACATGCTGGGTTCACATTTGTGTTTAAAGCTAAGTGATTAAAGTGGGTTTTCAGGTGAGACTTAAAGAGGGGGACCGACATGGCCTGCCTCACCTGCAAGGGCAGAGCCTTCCACAACCTGGGCAGTGAGAATGCAAAGGTCCTTTCCCCTCTCGTAACACAACACACTTTCAGGACCTTGAGTAGTGATTGATCCGCTGATCTCAGACGACTCCTACTGAATGATGTCTGACATAGGATGGGGCCATGGATAGTACTGCTTTAAACACAAATAGAAGGATCTTAACTCATTCACTGCCATTGTTGACTAAAGCCATCAATTGTTTTTTTTAACGGGGTTGGCTTGGGAACGAGCTTGTGCACCTTCAGAGTAAACATCACAGCTCTAAAGTTGATTTACATCCATCTGTGTCACATGTCACATGATCATGAAGCAGCATGTATTAGGAGATTGTTTTGGGACGCCACTATGCCTAAAGCGAGGTGCAACCTTAAAAAGCTTCTGCAGCTCACGTTTCCGACAACAGATTGTGAAAGAATGGAAAAAGCTAGAAACACACTGATTCTTCCTGATTCAAAAGAAGTGAAGAAGGGAGTCTACTTTTTCTTTTGGCAGTTTTGGTGTTGGTCATAGAGCACAATATTCTGTGACTCTTAAAAAACAGTAAAAATGCTCAAAATCGCTGGCAGTCAGGGGCTTCCTGTTCAGAAAAAGGCTGGCAGTGAATGAGTGAAATGTGATCCTGAACTAGATTGGCAGCCAGTGCAGAGATTCCAGTAGGGGTGTAATGTGATCTGGTCTACGCACCCAAAGCTGCTTTAGCTTCCCAAAGTTGTTTGCACCAAACCGCACGAATGATGTGCTTGTTTCAAAAACTAGCAGAATGCCACATCAGACAAGAGCAGAACACAGCAGGATTTGGCAGGAGATAGGTGTAGGAGATTGTTTTCATGTTCCGCCTGCATGAAAAACTCATAGTGATTGACTATTATCAGAAATAAGAATTAAAAATGTTTTATCAGTGTTCCATAACTTTAAAGTATTATGAGCTTTTTAAAAATTTGGACTGATTGAAATAAAAATGGTCAAATCAACTGAAATATCACTGGTGTAAAAACTAACATAACTGGTTGCTCCCTTTGTTCTGGTAACTTTAGATAATGTTCAGTTGTTATCAAATGAATAACTGAGCACTGTTTTAACAACTAATATTATAGGTTATAGTTTGTTTTTTATAGCTGAATTTGTGTGGTATTATATTAAGCTAATTATGGCTTTTTGGCTTTGTTGTTTTGAACCCAACTGATTTTATTTTTGGCACCACAAAAAATAAAGACTACAAAATAAACACCTAATATATGTTCTGCACTGAGGTTTGAATTACTCTATTCATGATGCTGTGCTCAGATATTTTTGATGTCAATAGAAATAGCAAATAAGAAATGACCAGCAAGTGATTTTTACAAACAAGTGATGAAAATTCTGTCATAAATTTGGAAATCAGGAGTAAATTTCTCTGAAAACCAACTACTAATGACCTTAATCAGAGTATTCTGTCTAGCTAACATAAATGATCACCCCATCACCAAAACACGAGCTGGACTAAATGATGTTCAACACGCTGTTTTGGTTGATGTGGTTTCCAGTTAGAACAACGCGTCTGTGCGCCGTGACAGAAAGGGAGGGCAGTAGGAGAGCTAGAAACAGAGCAGGAGCGACACATCCCAGCTCTCCAAAACCACCCAGACAACAAGAAGCGCTCGGAACCTCCAAACGATCCAAACTGACTCCACGCAAACTTCCCGCAGACGCTCCAGCATGTCCAGCGGAGGCGAGCACCGCGGATGCGCCACATGAGGCGGACCAGGGGAACAGAACGCTGCGCTCTTAAAGTTTGCCCGCAGAGACGCGCTGTGACTCTCGCAGAGCCCAAAAAGAAAGTTCCTCTGTGTTTTCAGCTTCTCTGACTCCAAACGGACTCTTGGGATTGCTTGGATTCAGCGGCGCGTCTTTTTTTTATGTTCAGCCGGGGAGACGCGTAAATATCCGGGGTGGTCCGCTATCAGGAAGGTGACATGCAGGTTCTCGGTTGGACCACAGTTCTCCTCTGCCAGTGGATCCTACAAAAGGTGATGTTTTTTATACTACACAGTTTTATTGTTATATCAGTTTTATTCTAACAGAGCAGGAGGTGTAACTTTGATTAAAGTTTATTTCCCTTCACACCAGCAGTTGGGGCGCACTATAAACGTGTTTTATGGCTACTGTTGATTTAGGAAAGATAACTAACTAAATAACTAAATAAATAAACACATGAAGCACGAGTCTGCTTCCAAAAGCCGCAGATTTGTGCTGCCTGAGCGCTTCCTTTTAAGCAGCTCTCCTTATCCATTTATCTTCTCACCCTTCCAGCAACTTCCTCTCATTTTTCTTTAGAAGTTGAACGCGCCCGTGGCTTGTCTTATTATCTTCGCCATCGCTTTACGAGCGCACACCCCGCGCATCAGCGTGCGTGTGCGCGCGTGACTGCTGAAGCTGCTGCATGTGTGTCTGCAGGGGTCAATTTACGCGCCAGTGCGCGCGCACGCATCCACTATTTTGGTTATTAAAGTCCTACCTTGCCATAAATAATCCAGAGCAGAACAAAGTCTTCAGAGACTTTTCGGCCTCACTAATAAAAAAACAGACTTCTCACCAAACATATTCTCCTCTTTTGTGTCTTCACCTTTTCTCCCCTCTTTTATCTTCCTGTAATTAACTTTTATTGCAGCATGCATCCCATTTTTGCATATAAAGACATAAACATCTGCTGTAATGTTTACGCTATACCTCTGGTTAACAGAATATCAGTGTAAAGTGACAAAGTAAAGTGTTGGATGGGCGGGGGACCTTTAACACCAACGGAAAAATAGCTTTCCTCTAGAAAAGATGCTCCTGATGTGTTTTTGTGATACTTTTAAACAAATTGGGGTTGAGCTTGTTTCATGACAGGTAATAACACATAAGCCTCTTTTGAAGATGTAATGCAAATCATTCCTGCCATGCTCATCCGCCTGAGAGTGCAACTTAGGTTCAAGTGCTGGGATTGACTCGGTATTAGATCATATCTGCCCCATCACCTCTGCTGTCTTCCAGTTGAAATTGTATTTTTTTTTCTCCAAGGGATGAAGTAGAAGCAGAATCTTTTTTGTGCTCACAGGTAGGATAAAGAAATGCAAAAGTGAAAGGAATTAAATTATCCAGAAATTCTGAGAAAATCAGAGGCGTTTTTACGTGTGAGTACACATGTGGAAGCAGGGAACGGTGAGGAAATATGGCAAGACAGATATGTAAAGCTGATGGTTTATTTTCCAAATTTCTCTTGTTTTCAAATAGAAAAGTAATAAAACTGTTCCTGCATGTAATGCAATCTTATAATTCTTTTTTCACCTTGTGCTTTGAAATTATATCTATAGTAACAGCACTACAGAAGAAGAAAAGATGTGTGAAAAGCTTCTTTGCTCTTTTATGCTCCCAGGAGGAACAATAGCATTAGCCAGCATCTCAATCTGACAAAATCCTCTTATCTCTCCTCATAAAACAACTAGCTGTATACCCCAGGGACAATATGGCAACTCAGTTGCTTTAATTTCATTGTATATGGCCTCACTTCCTTTGCAATCTCGTCTCATGTAGTCTGCATAGCATGTGCATTCCAGTGGTCTCTGTAAAGTGGAACGGGGAGGAGCGTGCTTTCCACACCTCGCGTCCATGCACACATTTTATGCACCTTGTTGTTTGGGGGAGAATTTTGAGCCATCAGCAAACAGCAGGATCAGATGTTTTCCCATTACGGATTAAACCAGGTGCTTTCTCCCCTCGGTTAGTCTTTTTTGTCCATCTGCCCGTGGATCACCCTGCATGTAAGGAAAACAATCCAGTTTGAACAAACATTAGGCACCGCTGCTCTGTAATCTGTGTAAATTATATTCTCTTTTTACTGATTAGATATGTAATCTGTTGAATCATGATGACAGAAGCAATCACATTACTGCTGTATCTTTAGTCTCCCAAACAGCTTCCACTGAGATCAAATACTACTTTAACCTAAAAAATAAGGAGTGGAATAAAACAGTATTTTAATGAATTCTGCTGTGGTTATCATGAGATTAAGCTCAAGTGTAGATTATTTGTTTTAGCAGCACCATTTTTTAACGAATTGTGACGTGCAAGGTGAGCAGTTACTTGCTTCGTGTCATCCTTTGACTGCAGAAATGAACTTGAAAAGTTCAGCTTCAGTTGCAGCTTCACTGATAATAATTCCTACAACATGACTGAAGCATTTGGTGTTCAGAGGATGATGATGGAGAAAAATGTCTCTTGGTTGAGATCTGTGGACTGTGAAGGCCACACTATATGATTTGTTTAATTTCTAGACCCATTCAACCATTGCTGGGCTCTCTGTGGGTGTGGAGGAGTGTCACTGTTGAAGAGACCACAGTAGTGATGCTTCCCTGCTAAACACAACAACCACAAAAACTCAACTCATGGCTGTGAAAACTAAATGCCACATCCTCTCACTGTAAAGGGGCTGTAGTTCCAGTTTTCTGCTTATGAGCTACTTATTTATGTTCCTTTAATTTGGACCATGCACAGAGAAATGCAACATGACAGTCATGAGAAGGCAGATGCATGTGGCAGATCAAGCCATCCATCTGCAGTCTTTCTGCACGTAAATATAATAGTTATGAAATATGAAATACATTAATACCTCAAAAATCAAACTGCATTTAGGGTGTTTACCTGGAATGTCGCAGCATTTAAATGACAAAAGTAGCAGGGACATTTTTTAAAGGGGACGTGATGCAAAACTCACTTATTGCACCATGTTGTGCTGCCATGTGGGTCTCTACAGCCTCTAAACACTCCTAATTTGAAAAATAATCTACCAATCTATTTTCTATCAATGTTTAGTTTCAGTAATTATGTGCCTAAAACAATCTGTTTCAAAATGTCATTGTTTGTGATGTCATAAACCGGGTATTTAGCTTTGGACCTCTCAACTTTTCAGGTTTTAGGGACAGCAGCTCAACTCTGACCCCCCCTGGATATTGGAGCATCTCAGCTTATAGTAGTCTGACTGGGATGGGTGGGTGTGGCCAGCTCTAACTTGTTTTCCTAAAGTGACAGATCCTTGAAATGGCTCATTAAGTAAGGTACTGAAACTGTTAAATATAAAGCTGCTGGAATTTCTTCATGTGAGAGGGATTTAGTGATAAAAACAAAATTAACATTTTTGTGTTAGCCATAGAACTTTTATGTATTACAATAAGTCATAACGTGTCTCATTTAAAAGAATATTGACCAAAAATTGAAAAAAATATCTACTCTTTGACCTTCTGATAAACCTATCTTTTATGACTTTTTTATTGACTACTCATAGTTTCTGCATGTGATTAAATTTGCAGTGTAAATAGTAAGTAGTGGTGGTGCGTTACTACAGAGGTAGATTCTTTAAAGTCAGTTTAAATGCTAAATGTTTGAATACCAATATTGATTTTAAGTCTGAGTTGCAGTTAACAAGCTACAGTGTTTTTATTTTACCTGCCAGTGACACTTTCAAGCTTAATTTCTGTTATTTTATGTGCCGCCATCTTAACAGAAAAAATGCATTTGCATTCAGGCTGTGTCACACAAGATTTCTCTGCCCTAATTAAGTACACTTCTCCATTTCTGTCCGTTTCAGATAAATAGGAAAACAAGGACATCAGCGATTGATCTTATCCTTCTGAGTCCACCCAGTCCCATCATTTTGGCTCAGTACAAACTTCCTGTATATAATATAACCTGCAGGTTCTGGTTGAGCTCCAGTTGTTTATTCAGGGTCTAAAGAGCAGGTTTCATATAACAAGTAGGTGAGCTTCTGGTGAAGACAAGAAAGGGAAGAAAAAAAAAGAGGAGATAGAAAGATAAATGTGTCAGACTTGTTACCTCATTTACTTCTCTCTCCATCCAGTCGGAAGCAGATTTGTGTCAAGTTTAAATGCAGGAGCATGTCACAGTCCTTTGAGCGGAACAGAGAGTCAAAATAAATATAAATATATATATATATATATATATATATATATATATATTTATATTTATATATATATATATATATATATATATATATATATATATATATATATATATATATATATAAATAGATGGAGAGGCTGGGTTTGAAGATAATTTTAGGGTCAGGTCACTAAACATTTTTAAATCGAGATCCAAGCCTAGTGACCCGTGAGATCCCACTACAGGAACGGATTTACGCTGAAGCTGTTTCTGTGTGTTTTCTGACACATGGAAGAGTAGAAGCTCTTTAAAGAAGAAGAAAAGGAGGGCATCAACCAACATTTACTTATCTGTTTTCAGTACCGGGTTAAACCTTAGGAATACAATCAACATTTTAAGGAAAAGTATACATGTATTAAATTCCAAAAATGTGTAATAAAAGAGCTGCATATTGGCACAGTAAAGGAAGGATTACCCCTGCACAAAGAGATTGATGAATCTCAACATCTTCGTATAAAATTCATTTTTAACCTTTTCTGAAATTTTATATCACAGGCTCTTCTTCCCACTCGCGTGATAAAATCAAATGTGTGATTTCACCCCCAAACAGTGGGGTCATGCGTACGCTTTTCCGTATTTTGTTCCACCACTCGACTGTTGACTAGCCATCAATCTGTGCGTTTCATTTTAAAGGGGACACATTAAGACTTTCTCCTTAGGTTATAATAGAGCTATAAATATTGTTGATAGGGTTAGGTTTGATACATATTTAGGAAGCTCTTTGCACTAAATCCTCTCACATAAACATACAGCAGTTTTATCCTTAGCATTTTTAGTACCTTCCTGAATGAGGCCATTCATGGCTCTGTCACTGAAACAAGCTGGTGCTGGCCATGCCCACCCATACCTCAGTCAGGCTGCTATAAGCTGAGAAGCTCCAATGTCTAGGAGGGGCTCAGAGTAGAGCTGCTGCTATTCTAGCTGAAGCTTTCCCCTGAGAGGTGGATATATTCTAACTTCCCTTTTTGTGACATCACAAATGGGACTTTTTGAAACAGCTTTTTTGGACAGACATATCCAATATGCGGCCCAT